CGAAACAGGAACAAACCTTTAAATGGGAAGAACAACACCAACAAGCTTTTGAGGAAATCAAGCATTACCTCTCAAATCCACCAGTTCTGTCCCCACCAAAGTAAGGCAGACCACTCAAGCTTTATATATCTGCATCAGAAATATCCATTGGAAGTTTATTGGTTCAGGATAACAAGGAAGGGAAGGAACAGGCAGTCTACTACCTGAGCAGAACTCTAACAGAGGTGGAAAGAAAATATTCTGCAATTGAAAGACTTTGCCTAGCCTTGTACTTCACTGCTGTGAAACTCAGACATTACATGCTGCCGTACACCATCTATATCATTGCCAAAACAGATCTGATCAAATACATGCTAACAAGACCAATGCTGAGAGGCAGAATTGGAAAATGGACCCTGGCCTTGACAGAATTTGCCTTCAGATATATTCCTCAGAAAGCCGTCAAAGGACAAGCTGTGGCAGACTTCCTAGCAGACCATCCCGGGGAGGAGATTGAAAATATGGATTCTTTAGACATAGCAAATGCAGATCTATTAACCAGAGCTCACACCTGCCTCAACAATCCTATCTATTCAGTTCACCTTGCACCTTGGAAATTATACTTTGATGGATCAAAAACTGATATAGCTTCCGGAGCAGGGATTGTTTTGGAAGAACCACTTGGAATCAGACACTGCTACTCTTTCCAATTGGATTTCCAGTGCACCAACAACAGGGCAGAATATGAGGCTCTAATCATTGGCTTGGAAATACTGGTAGAACTAGGAATCCAATCTGTGGAAATTCTGGGAGATTCCATGCTGGTTTTAAAACAAATTGCTGGGGAATACAAGTGCCTAAGCCCTTCACTAGCCGTCTACTTGGTGGCAGCTAGGAATCTTCTGACAGAATTCAGAGAGGCCACTTGGGAACATATCCCAAGGGAAGAAAATTTTGCAGCTAATGAGTTGGCTCAGGTGGCAACAGGCATACAAATGCCCGAGGATTGTGTACAAAGAATCATCAGGATAGGAAAGAAAAGCCTGCCATCTGTTCTAACCAGGGGAATGGAAATAGATGTCAATTCTGCCACAATCACTGAAGATGATTGGAGAAATCCTATCATGACCTATTTACGATATCCAACTCTGCCCTCTGAAAAGAGAATCAGAATCATGGCTTTAAACTACCTTATGTGGAATGAAGATTTGGTCCGAAAGACTAAGGATGAGGTGCTTTTAAGGTGACTCGGAAAGAAAGAATACATGAAAGTCATGGGGGAAACCCATGAAGGAATCTGTGGAGCACATCAAGGTGGGAGAAAAATGTGCAGGTTTATTAGAAGATATGGCTACTTCTGGGCAACCATGATGAAAGATTGCATTAACTATTCCAAGGGATGTGAATCTTGTCAAAGACACGGTCCAATCCAGCAGGCTCCATCAGTTCTCATGAATCCAGTGGTAAAGCCATGGGCCTTTAGAGGATGGGCAATGGACCTCATTGGCAAGATCTATCCAGCCCGCAGCCAGCAGCACTGCTTTATCATTGTTGCCACAGACTATTTCACTAAGTGGGTAGAAGCCAAGGCTGTTAAATCCACTACATCTCAAGAGATCATCATTTTCATAGAAGAACAGATTATACAAAGATTTGGCATCCCAGAATCAATCACAACTGATAGAGGATCCTCTTTCATATCTAGAGAAATGCTGGACATGGCAGAGGCATTCAAA